TTGTTTTATATGTCTATATGTATTTAAAATATAATAATAAAGTGTTATAATTGCTTTATATAATCATAAGTCTTTGGCAGAAGCTAATAGAAAAAATATAAAGTTTTTTTTATATTAACATTCTTATTTTTCATTTTTTGGTGTTCATTTCTTTGTCTAGATATAAGTTACTGTCTGGTGTCACTTCCATGCTCCACTAGTGTCTTTCCTGTCCTCCTTTGGACTGCTGTTGTCAGATACCTTCTGTATCTTGTAGGTCCAAAAATAAATTTTATAATTTTATGCAGTGTATGTTTTAAATAAAAGAGGTGTGTGTATACATTTTCTACTAGACATATCTACCACCTCCAAATAAGGCCTTTTTTCTATATTTTATAAGACCTTTATCTTTTTCCTGTACTATTGCACTGGCTGTAGGAACTCCAGTAAAATGTTAAATAGAAACAGTGATAGTGGGTATCTTTGTCTTGTTTTGGCTGCAATGGAAATCCTTCTAATTTTTCTTATTTGTGATGTTTGTTTTGGATTTTTGATACCTTTTCAGGTTGTTTCCTTTTCTTCCTAGATTGTTGAATTTTACTTTTATTAAACTCTTAATTCATTTGGAATTTAATCAGGTTTTTCTACAACTCAAATGATCTTTTTCTTTAAATCTCACATGGTGTGATGTATTAATAGACTTTCTGATATTGAACCATCTTTGCATTTCTGGGTAAAACTTTCTTCATCATGAACTATTTTTCAAAAACCCTACTTATTTGTAATATTTTATTTAGTATGTGTGTATCTGTGTAAATAAGATTTACTATTTTTCATGTGCTCTTTGGTCAGTTTTGGTAGCAAGGTTTTACTATGTCCCCACCAAAATTTTTTCCTATTATCTAATCAGATAGGTTGCCTGAGATAAGCATGAACTGTTCTTGAAATTTTGATAAAACATTTCAAAGGGCGAGGGGCTAGATTTTTGATAAAACTTCATCAAGGTAATTTGTTCAGATTTTCTATTCTTAAGTCATTTGAGGTTATTTTTTGAGTTGTCCCTTTCATCCAAGGTTTAAAATATATTGGCATGTGTTTTATGAGTTTTTAAACCTCTACTGTATCTGTGCTTACCTCTTCTGTTTCCTATTTGTTGGGGATGTTGTGCCCTAGTTTTGCTAGTTGTTTTTCTAATTTATTAGTCCTCCTCTCCCCAAGAATTAGCTATTTTATTGATACTGGTGTTTTTAATTTTACCACTTTCTGCTCATTTTTAAAGCTTTCTTTTACTTTATGATTAATACTCTTATCCTTGATCTTTCTTGTTTAAATAATGCATTTAAGAATATAAACTTTAACAGTACCACATTTTGTTTTGTGATACCTTTACTGTCAATTATAAATATTTTGTAATTCCTAGTTTTATTTTCTCTTTAATTCAGTGAGTCATTTGAGTATGCTTTTGGCCTTTTTTAAATGTGTTATATTGTGGTTGATTCTAACTTAGCTGAATTGAGATCACAGAAATGTGGGTTAACATTCAACCTCTGAAATATGTTAAGGCTTACTTACATTTTGACAATCTTTATAAATGTTCCTTATGTATTTGGGGGAGGGGGATGGACTTAATTGGATGATCTTTCTGTATCCATTCACACTTACTGACTTTACTATTTAGTATTACTAAATTACTAAGTTTTAATGATCTATCAACCTCTAATAAAAGTAGTTAAACAAATCCACTTAGCATTTCCTAGTTTTTTTTTCCAATATATTTTGAGGGGATTTCATGAGTTGTGTCTTGGTTCATTATTATTATATACTGTTGGATTGTTTCATATATTTTTACATAGTACCCTTCCTTATTAATACTTTTTTATTGTTGAAAATTCTGTTTTCCATTACTATATCTCCACTAACCTTCTAATAATTACCACTTTTTAAACTCAAGAAGAAAAAAATTCTGATAAAATAGTTTAAAACATCAGACTATGTCCAATTTTTTTCCTTGTGTAGTGGGACTAAGGCCTGATTTATGTTTTACCTGACAGTTATATTCCATGTTTAGTTGTTTCTGTTTCCCTTTTTGCTAAGCTTTTGATCTAAATGGATTATTCTCTGAGAAAAATTATTTCAAAGACTTGATAAAGGAATATTATTTCTTAAATGTTTTATGGAATGAATCAATATGTTTTTGCACAATAGTCTAGGTGGAGTAGCAACAAAAGTTTTTCATAATTTATTCTTATTGGGTAAATATTATTGAAACTATGGGTACACAGCTGGAGCTGGACAGAGAACTATGTTTTTTTCCTCCATGAAACATCAGACTTACCAGTTTTAATTTACATATGTGTAAAAAAGTTTATCATTTAAGATGAGAACTTTTTCTGACTTGAATTTTTTTCTGTCAGTGGCTATCTTAACTTTGTAGCATGAAGTTAAGAGCATTTCACCCAAAACTGTTGCTATTGGGAGCAGCTTGTCACTGACCAGTAGTAATCTGGCCACTGCTCCTGCTCCTTTCTGTTTCTCGACTGGGCAGAGGCTTGGTGTCCAGTCTGAAAGCCGTTGTGGTCTTTGACCTTTTAGAGCACAGAGACTGGAGTGGTAAGCCCAAAAATGCCCCTGAGCCATGCACACACACTGAAATATATTTAGACTATATTGATCATATATTTAATCACAAAATACCTCTTGAGTGGGGGAAGAAGGACTTCTGTTCTACTTTAGGCCCTTTTAGTAGTATTTAAAATTTTAGCAAATTATTTTTATAATAACTTACCAGAAATACAGATTTGAAAAAAATGAGAATGTTACTATAATCCTGTGTATGTATTATAAGGCTTTCTTATTAACACAGCATGAAGTAATAAAATGTAATTTATAGTCAACTTGGGCTACTCTAGCTCAGAAAGGTCAGAATGATAATTCATTTAACATGAATTCTATTTACTGGAGAAAATTAAAGGGAAGAGGAGGAAGGGGTGCTGATATAATAGCAGTCCTTATTACCATCTTAGTTTCTTCTGGCTAAGAACCCTTGAAATCTAATACAAACCCTGGCTATGGAAAAAGACTTGAAGTGATAAAAGGTAAAACTTAACTTATAGTTGGCAATTTCAAACTGTCTCTTTCTTGTTTGGTGTATCTATGCCAAGAAGATCAAATTATGGGCTCCATCCCCAAAGATTTACATTTAGCTGATGTGGGATAGGGCTTAGACATCTGAATTTGTTAAGTTTTGCTAAAAATTCCTAGTTGTAAACCTCTCAGGGCAATTATAACAGTTTTGCTAAGGTTTTTTTTTAAAAAGCAAAACACTTGTTATATAACACTATGTAATAAATCGATCTGGGGGTATCTTTTCCTTAGTTTCTGTGTGGGTTGGAGTGAACATTGCTGGGGTCTCTCTGAAGGATCTAAACTCAGATAAAGGAACTGATAAAGATCTGAGTAGTGGGGAAATGTCCACAAAGTGGTTGCCAGGGCAATATGTTCGTTTTGCATCTTTAGTACCTTGGAAGTCAGCTGTAAGGCTGAATTGTGCCAGAGGGATGAGATTTGGGTCCCTTAAGTACATGTTGTTGTGTCTCTGATACTTTTCTTTCATTAGCACTTTTTATTTTTGTGTGATCCTATTCACCAGATAACAAACTCTTAAGCAGTCAGGGACTAAGTCTTTCTTGCTCCTTGCGGAGCCTAACCCAGTATCTTACCATATTGTAGGCACTTATTTGTTAAATTCTTGTTTAAAAGGATATCTTTTTAAATTGTTGCTATAAATTCTTTACTGTTAATAGTAAAATTGATTTCACACTAATTTCTGGGTCTCATAACTCACTTATCCTCATAACTCTTTTCTACCTTAAACAACCAAGTCCTGTAAGGAATTCCTAGGAGAAATTACTGATGGAAACAATTCAGATTTGTGGCATTGTCAGGCTGCCATATACGGATGTTCAAAGACACGTATAGTGTACAGAAAGGGAGCCCTCTCTTGGGTCCCAGCTAATCATGTAACTTATGTTCATCATTTCTTCCAATTCCACAGTGGCTCTAAGATGATTAAAAAGAAATGGGGTGCTGCCCTATCTGTGCTGATGTAACAGCAAGTATTTTGAACAATCTTAGGAGTGCATCCAGTTTGCAACATGAAGGTAGGATGTTTATGTTTGAAAAAATATTTATCAACATAAAATGAGATAAAAGGGCATTTATGGGGGATAATTTTTGAAGTTGATTCTGTGGAAGCACCTCTTCCTAAAGTATATTCTTTATTGCTGTTGAAGAGAGACAAAGGGATGGGTACTAGAGGAGGAAGAGACCTACCTCTGTGGACCTTTCTCCTGGCCTAGTGTGGTATGTCTTACTGTATTTGATCAGATGAAAGTCTCACTGAATCTTTGTTATTTAACTAAGTGAACTAGCTCTATAAACATCTAGTAACATTGGGAACCACTGTGCCGGTAGGTCTTGTAACATTTTGAATTGTTCTCTAACCGTTTTCAATTGGTCCAAGAAGAGACCTAAGAAAAGCACTGGTCACAAAGATGTTAGCAGTCAAGTCTCCTGGGGCGGGGGGAGTTGGGGCCCAGGTATGAAGCCTCTGCTAGTTTGAATGGGAGAGGGTAAAGTAAAATAGAATTAAATCACTGGGAATAAAGTAATAGGAAGTTTTAAAGTAGTTCCTTATAGTAAATGGATTGTGGGCAAGGAGACAGGAAAAGAAGGGTAGGTCCCAGCAAACATGGCAAGAGGTTGGGGCCTGTGTGGAAAGATGGCAGATGAATTTGAACAATAAATGTCTAGTCATGTGTTTTAAACTTTTTCCTGGTGGTCTTTTTTTCTGCCACAATTCATACTACAAATCTGTTAAATACTTATTCACCCAGCAACTTGTTTCTCCTATTGCAGACTTCTGTTAGGAAAAAAGAAAAAGAAATAATTTTTAAGTCTTTACTTTCAGGGCCATTATTGAATAAATGAAGACTATACTAGTGTTCCATGTGTCCTGGGAGTGAATGGTATTACAGACCTCGTAAAGGTAAAGCTGACCCCTGAAGAGGAGGCCCATTTGAGAAAGAGTGCAGAAACTCTTTGGGAAACTCAGAAGGAGCTCAAGCTTTAAAGTTACTTACAACTACCTCAGAAGAAGTTACCGAAAAAGAGATGGTAGTTACAGGATTACAGGTCAAAACTTCTGAATAAACCTGAATTCCTAAAAGTTGGAAAAAAGGGGGGGGCAGAGTGAGTCCTTTATTTAGCCCTTCAGCTCTTTTAGTTATCATCCAACATTTGGATGAAATTCCTAAATGACTGCAAAGAAGTCATTCTGGTCAAAGAAGGTGTTCTGATGCCTCTGATGTACCAGTACTTGCCTTGTATATACGTAGTAGCCATTTGGTCCAAAAGGATTTATGATGTATGTTTACTCTGTTTAGAAATTGATGCTTTCCATCAAGTATATGCTAATTCTTTTGTTCTGGCTGGCTGATATATCTGTGTTCATTTATATGCTATAAAAAAGCTGTAATTTCCTCTACCATGTAAAAATAAAAGTATATATACACAAAAATAACTCATGTAATCCTAACACTAAATTAAACCTTGTTAGTTTTTATTCTGATAATTTTTACAAGTGGATTTTAATTTTTTAAGATTATAAATTCTTTAGTGGTGAGACCAAATTGGTCTTTCTTCTCTTGGGAAAGACTGCCTCACACGCTACATACCTTAAGGTATCTTAAATTAGAATGTTCATTTCTTTAGAACCTTCCAGCTCTCATCTGACAGAGAACACTCAGTTCTGCTGGGTTAGCTCTATGGGACATATGGGTCACTGGGTGGGTGACCATAGTCTTACCCAGAGTCACTCACCAGGGAGACTGGCTGCAAACGACAGTAAGTGCAGACAGGCAGTGGACACTGTACCTTCCTCCTCAGTTGTGGCCAGGTCATCCTGCCGAGTTAATAAACTCTCAGATGTGTTGCTTGGCACTGGCCACTCTGCTGCTTTCATGACGAAAACAGTTATGGTTCTGTCAGATCTGGGAAAGAATAAAATCTACACAGAATTGGCATGAGGATATGAGGACCTTTCACAGAAAGTCATTAAATTCTAAATATTTGAACATTTAGATTTCTATGTATTATATCCCATATTGAGTAGAATCCACTTTATATGCTAGAGAATAATGGTAAATTTCAACTCATGATGGATAAATTAGAAGCTGAGCTTATTAAGTTTCACATATTTTGTTTCATGTGTTCAGTAAAGAAGAGAAAAATTATGCAACAAATTTTATTTAGCATAGTCAGTCCCAACATTCAGCACAAAAAGAGTTTACAGAGGATAGAAAGTGCATTAATAAAAGCCAGTCTTTACCAAAAGAAAACAGAAAATATATTATTGATTCAAAATATTTTACACTTGAATGATAAACTGCAATAACTTATTTGGGCACCTACTGATACAAGAGAAAGGAAGAGAAGAAGAGAACACTTGAGAAGAGTCCGGCCTCCACCCGGTGCCAGAGCCGTCAGTAGAGGTCACTGAGACCGGCAGTCTTCCTTGCTTTCTGCATTAGCGCCCTCAGCTGGAACTGTTTACGGGACAGGAGACGCACATGCTGTGAGGGGAAGAGGTCAGACAGTTTAGGCCAGCCCTCACCCAGGTCCAGGCACAAACTAGCAGACGTTTGTAACCTATATGGGAGTTAGGAACCGTAAACTCATCAACCTTCCTTTGGAGCCCAATACTACATTTTATGTGGCTGTTTAAACTCACTGGATTGATGCTGGCAGGCTGTGTTAAGGAACCTGTGGAGGCTTTCCTGGTGACTCAGATGGTAAAGAATTTGCCTGCAATCCAGGAGAAACGGGTTCAATCCCTGGGTCAGGAAGATCTCCTGGAGAAGAGAATGGCTACTCACTCCAATACCCTTGCCTGGAGAATTCCATGGACAGAGGAGCCTGACGGGCTACAGCCCACGAGGTCGCAAAGAGTTGGACACGACTGAGCAACTAATACACTTGTATTCAGGAAAGCAGTCTTCTGAGACCCTACAATGTGTCACACGGAAAGCACCCCCCTGCAGGATCTGGCTCAGGAGTTCAAGCTACATCTTGAGACAACCAAGATGCCAGGGAAACATGTACTGCAATCCTAACAAAAGTTAACACAAACCTTTTAGAACTGAATGTCCCTAATTAGCTAAAAAAGGGAAGGGTAGGGATGAGTAGCACAAGGCCACCTTTGGTCCAGTGCCTAGCAAACAGCATCCTTTTCTCACCACTCCATGTTTATCTTGCCTAAGTTATGCCACCCAAGCAGAGAGCAGCATACAGAAAGGGAGCCCTCTCTCAGGTCCCAGCTATTCATATGCTTATACCAGGTCCAAGAGTGGTTTAGTCACACACTCACAGTGAGATAGGCAGGATCAGCAAGCAACCTGACCAGCCTCACAGGTACACTGAAGCATCAGAAGCAGCTGTACTGAATATCCAAAAGGTGGCTGTTATCCCTAAAGCCACGCTCTTCACGACCCAACAGAGAACAGTAGCCAAACTTGGCTTACAGATCTTCCATGTCTGTACAGTAGCATTAAGCCTGGAATAATCTTCATTTAAAAGGCCTCTATTGCTAGCAGGGCAAGTCCAATACTCTACAAGGGGAAACAGGGATAAAAGTATGCAAGTCTAAGAAAATTAACAGAGGGGGGAAAAAAAGCAACAAGGATGGGGCAGTCAATGATCTTAATTTAGATGGTGTGACCTGAAAGAATGGAAATCTGACTGTGCCTGCTGATCCACCTGGGTGCAGTAGTAAGAAGAATTACATTCAGCTTGATGCCGCCTTGGGGTAGGACCTGCAGCTACTAAACTCACTTTTCTTCCCATACTCAGATTATCCTCAGTCCTCTCTGTAGGTGGGAAGACACTGCTTACAGCCATTTACCCCACCTGCTCACTTTTGGAAAGAAAAAGAATTTTAACTCATCCCCTACAGACAAACCCTCTTGATTTGTGGTTTTCAGCAACAGTGGTTCTAAAACAAGTTCCAAAACTCTGGAAAGCAGAGTGAAGAAGACATACCTTTAGGAAGACATCTAGGTCTATTACTCCCCGCCTCAAGGCTTCTCCCAGGTAAAAAATAGTGTCTTCAATAGCATTTTCCTCTGCATACAGATTTAGGATCTGTTTGTATAGTGGGGCTGTGGGAATGATAACTTCATCAATATCATTGTTTTCAGATTGATTTTCCATTTTCTCCAGAGCAGAACTGAGTTCTTCATCCTTCTTTCTCAAAAGTTCTATGTTTTTATCAACCTCAGCCTGAAAACAGAAGTCCAAGCATGATGATTTTACACTAATTGTAATTATCTTGTTTGTCAGACATCTGCAACTCAACTTCACAGAAGCAGACTTGCTAATAAAACAATGCTTCAACAACTCATGGATGAGATTCACGTTTCAAATACACATTTCAAAGTTAGAGGAAAAGGTGTGCTCTAACATGCTAAGTGCAAACAGGAGATGCTAAGCTGAGCACTTTTGGTGGCAGTGATAAGCCTGTCACTTACCAGTAATAAATATTGCAAAATAAGCCATCAGATAAGACACTTTCCTGCAGGAGGTTTCTTACATTAAAATCATAAAAGAGGCCCTTCTTTCAAAACAAGTGGACATCTGCCTCAGAGGAACAACTTCCCCCAGTCTATACAGACGATTCAACACACAGAACTCCACAAACACTTGAATTTTAGTCCCAAGATAACAGCAGGTGGTGGCTGTGGGCTCTGAATTGTACTGGTGCCATTTTCCTCAATGTTTGAAAATAGCTGACTATCGAGAAGCTCATTTTACACACTAGGACCATTTATTAGACTAATGTGTACATACAAATCAGTTTCTTCAAACACTCAGTAAACTCTCTATCCTTTCATCAAAAATGCATACTTACTGAAACAGATTCTCCCTCACAAGAATCAAAGTGAAGAGTGAAGCTGGTACTCAACTCTACATCTTTAAACAAAAGTCACAGGGCTGACTTACACTGACTCTTCAGGGCAAAGCAGTCTGATAAAAATGTGAGAAAGCTGAAGAGCTAAAGGTTGCATACCAAAGATACTTTAACTATAGTTCAAACAATGTTTGGAAACAAAACAGAAAACTGATCCTTAAGTCTGCACCCCAGGTCTGCAGATCTTTATCAAGGCTTAGAACTCTCTCAAATTCTTATTTCTGGGTAACTGTCTGGTAACATTAACACTCAAACAGTCCTCCTATGGGTCAAAACATTATCCCCCAGCATGAAGGGGCAAGCAAAAAATCCTCTAAATACATCCACTTCCCAGTATTTCAACCATAGGCTCTGTTTTTTAACAAGCTGTAGAGAAGCTATGTTCAAGTGCTTAAAGAGTGTGTACAATCGTTTCAACTCTCATACCCACAGTACTCAGGGTAGCCATAGTACATACAGAAAACTTTGCCGTAGCTACAGTTAGAACAGTGCCATTATGCAACGAGTTACTTACTACTTCTTGATCTAAACGGGTAACCATCTCTTCAAGTTTCTGGTGCCCTTTTTTCAGGTCTTCCTCTGTCCGTTTCAAGGCGTTGAGCTCTGCCTGGGCGCGATCCATCTCCTCCTTCATCCGCCATCTGAGTTTGTCACTGACTGCTGAGATGAGAGAGGCTCGGATAGTGTCCTCGCTGATTGTGCCATCCCTACTGGGACCTGTGGGAGGAAAGGGCAAAACACTTGCTTATTTCCCAATCTCTCTGTATTCCTTTCACGGGAATCATCACAAAACAGGACAAAATATGAGTCAACACTTTCAAAGTGTGAGGAAAGAAAACATTGTATGCCATAACTTTATTAAACATAACATTAAAACAGGAGTTGATTCAGAAATACTCTCCCCATGAGAGGTTGCTTCTTGTTCAGTCATTAGGTTGTGTCCAACTCTTTGCAATCCCATGGGACTGCAGCATGCAGGCTCCTCTGTCCTCCACTATCTCCCAGCGTTTGCTCAAATTCATGTCCACTGAGATGGTGATGCTAACCATCTTATCCACTGCTGCCCGCTTCTCCTTTTGCCTCAATCTTTCCCAGCATCAGGGTCTTTTCCAATGAGTTGGTTCTTCACAAAAGGTGGCTTAAAGTATTGGAGATTCAGCATCAGTCCCTCCAATGAATATTCAGGGTTGATTTCCTTTAGGATTGACTGGTTTGATCTCCCTGCAGTCCAAGGGACTCTCAAGAGTCTTCTCAGTACTACAATTTGAGATTACTGTTTATCCATATTTACCTAATTTCTTGGCTTACAGCCCAACAATTAGCTATTTTCTCAATGAGGCAGAGGCTCACCGAGAGCCTCTACAGATATCTACCGATTACAAAGATCCCTAAATCTCCAATAAATGGAACAACAAATTTATACCAAGGAAAAACATCTGATTCAGGTCAAGTCCATTCTTAGGCTTTACTGCTAAGCTGAAGGAGAAAGGTACCACCCACTCTAGAGGCCATTAAGATTGAGAACGGGCAGAGTTTCCTTAAACTAATGTACAAGTCAATACGGCTTCCCTTATGTAAGATGTTTATTCCTTTACCAAAAGAACAGGAAAGAACAGATGTGCAAAAGAGAATGCCATCCAAAAAATTCAGCTGATAAACTTCTGTTCTCAGATTCTTTACTCTTTGCCTTCCTAATCAGTGTCTTATATAAAACTTACCCCTCAGATATTTTCTTCAAAAAGGTCCTCCCTTTAAGTATAGATACTTTTTATGACTATCAGTGTTCTTCAGTTAGGGTCATAAATCAGCAAATGATAAACGGTATTCTGATTTTCAGTTATGTTTGATGACAGAATACCATGTGGGGAATTATACTTACCTTTACTGCTTACAATGAATAAAGAATGATTACAGACCAACAGTATCACTTCCACTCTGAGCTGAAAATTTTTATCACCTTGACGCTGAGTTCTACTTACCAGGGGGGTAGGGACCTTTAAGTCAGTTTGTAAAAATGTACCCAGAATCTCACCACTCGTGTTCTCATCCATTACAGGACCCCTCCTGGTCCCATGCAAAGTGCGCTATTTCTAAAAGGAAACTGCACTGTTCAAACGACATCGCAACCAGCACCACCTGTGCCCTCCACTGTTCCATCTGATCACAACTCTTGCTATTCCATATGCTGATCTGGTTACTCCACTTTTTAGATTTTAATTAGTAAAGTTGTTTTCTCCCAGAAGCTGGTCCATACATACCCAGGATACCCTGAATGCTTTTCTGGGCTTTTGTAAATGACTTGGGAGACTTCGGCGTCCTCAGATGTTACTGGTTTCAAAAATAGAGTCTAAGTCTACAGTTCTGTCCCCCCCCCCCTTTTTTTTTCTTTCTACCACAGAAGAACTGTTTTTTTGTGACTTGGGTTCTATTCTTCTTGCAAGTGAAAATGAGCAAAAACAGTATCTCCCATGGCCAGGTTTCCCTGAGGAGTGTCCTTCGTCCATCTGAGCTAAGGACACTGCATGTACACAGTAAAAAGAAAAGCCCACCATCAGACTCTCCTGCTAAGTCTCCCTCTTTCCTGTGAGGAACCTCCTGCTAAGAAGCGCCCAAACAGCACCCAAACTCCAGCATTTACAAAGAGGCAATTAATTTCAGAATTTACTTCCAATTTTATAAAAGTATGTCAGCTTATTATTACACATTTCTGAAAAGCAAAACTATTAACTTTCAGATGTGTGCTTTGGAATTCAGAGTTGTAAAGCCAGAGGGTAACTTGAGGTCTTATTTTTCACATCCCTGACCTCTTAATACCTGACTTTTCCAAAGAGTTCTCATCAATTTGCCAGTTACTGTAACATCTCTGTGCTCATTCCCCTCAAGTTTTCCCATAATCTTCTTCAGTGACCACCTCTCTAGTCACATCCTCTTGTATAGACACCGGGATGACTCTTAGCAACCTCCCCGAATTCACCAATTCATATTTCCACTCATTCCTTCTCGTACCTTTGACCTCTTGCTTCTTCCACTCCTGTTTTCCTTGAGTATCTCCCCTCAGTCCTAACTCCTTGCCCATCTCTTAGTCCTAAACACAGGCTGCCTGCCACGACAGCCTCTCTCTCATTGTTTTCAGATCACCAGGCATCTTCCAAAGGCCTTGTCTGCCATAACCTAAACCAAAACCTTGATCCTTTGGTTTCTTTCCTAAAGCCCTAAGCCCTCTTTTACCATCTTTTCATAAAAGAAAAAACAAAAACAAAAGTCCTCAGAACATGTTCAAAGACTGAAACTACCAGATGGGAGTTTTCCACTCTCTTCTCCCATTCTGCTTTGGAACAAAAATCCTAATCCTTTAATTAGGATTAAAGGATTAATCCTAACTCCTGACTATTCAAAAGCACTCACTTCCCTTTCTCAGGAAGACAACTGGCTTTCCTCTCAGTATGACTTAAAGACTTAGCTGTTTTAGACAAGACATTTTTGACATAAACTGAACCGATGTTTTCTTAGGTCAATCTCCCAAGACAATAGAAATAAAAATGAAAATAAGCAAATGGGACCTAATCAAACTTACAAGCTTTTGCACAGCAATGGAAATCATAAACCAAATGAAAAGACAACCTACAGAATTAGAGAAAATATTTGCAAATGACGTGAGTGATGAGGGCTTAAATTTCCAAAATATACAAACAGCTCATCCACCTTGACAACAAAAAAACAATCCAAATGAAAAATGGGCAGAAGACCTAAGTAGACATTTCTCCAAAGAAGAATACAGATGGTCAATAGGCACATGAAAAGATGCTCAACATTGCTAATTATTATAGAGAAATGAAAAAACTACAATGAGGTATCACCCCACACCAGTCACATTAAAAAGTCTACAAATTACAAATGCTAGAGAGGGTATGCAGAAAATGGAACCCTCCTACACAGTTGGTGGGAGTGTAAGTTGGTGTAACCACTGTGGAAAACAGCTTGGAGGTTCCTCAGAAAACTAAAACTAGAATTACCATATGATCCAGCAATTCCACTCCTGGGCATATACCTGGAAAAAAATTATACTTAAAAGAAGACATGTACCCCAATGCTCACAGGAGCACTACTCACAACAGTCAAGATCTGGAAATAGCCTAAATGTCCATCAATGTGAGTGGATAAAGAAGATATGGTATATATATACAACAGAATACTACTCAGCCATAAAAGAACTAAATAATGCCATCTGCAGCAACATGGATGCAATGAGAGATTCATATGAAGTGAAGTCAGAAAGAGAAAAATACCACATGTAGTACTTATACCTAAAATATGACCAATGAACCTACTATGAAACAGAATCAGTGACACAGAGAGTAGACTAGTGGCTGCCAAGGAGGCGGGTGGGAGAGAGATGGGTTGAGAGTTTGGGGTTAGCAGACACAAACTGGGGAGGTCCTACTGTACAGCATAGGGAATTATATTCAATATCCTGTGATAAAGCATAATGGAAAAGAATATGAAAAACAATGTGTGTATACACATGTATGACAGAGTCATTTTGCTGTACAGTAGCAATTAACATTATAAATCAACTATACTTCAATTTTTAAAAAAGACTAAAAAAAGACTTTATTTGGACAGAATTTATGTCAAATCAAAATCTCTAGTTTTTTATTTTGCATTAATTTATTTAAGTCCTAAGTGACAGCAAAAAAGGGTACAACAGTTTAGAATTTTGTGCTGAAAAGGTGATTTACAAAATAATGACTAGTAGAGATGGCATTTCACTAAGTCCTCATTTTATGTTAGATACATTAACAATAGGAATTTTAAAACTTTTTTCTGAAAGAACTTTCTTATTACGCCCATCTGAAATGTTACTATGATTCCTGTGAGATACAACAAAACTATTCCCAGAGATTAGGAACCCAAGTGATATGAATATGGTTAGGCATTCAAACGTGCAGTCAGTCACATGCCGTGAAAGTGTCCCATTCATCTGTGCAGAAATGATCTTAACTAATGCAAACTGAAGGGTCTTTTTATAACTAGTCTGGATGTTTTACACACAAACACATCAACAAACTGTTAAAATTATTACATTAAAATGGATCAAGTTATACTGATGCTAAATTTTCAAATCCCAATTAAAAAAATTTAAGTCCTGGAATTCATATTGTTTCTCTTATAAAATAATTAGGGCAAATGAAATGCTACCATACAGGACCAAATAAGTCCTTCCAAATAAGTCTCTAGCTAAAGCCAGTAACATTCAGAAGGGGAACGAAGCTGAGGCAGCAGTCACTTGGCTTTCAACAAAGGTCACAGTTCACCTGAGGAGCCTAGAAATGCCAAGGCTAGGCCGAGTCCTCTCCCTGATCACACACAGACATGTACAGTATATCTGAACATTTTGACACCCATCTACTTTCTAAATAGAAGAAATGAATTGTAATTAAGTTATCAAAAGTGAACACCAAGAGAAAAGCCCAGATTAAAGCTCAAAGTTAAATGAACCATGACACTTAAAGAGACTGTTTATGGGGGGTGGGAGGGAGGTTCTAGAGGGAGGGGATATATATATATACACACAGCAATGACTGATACACGATGTATAGCAGAAACCAGCACAATGCAAAGCAATTATCCTATTAAAAAGAAAAAATAATACAATACATTTAAAAAGAGATTGCTTATGTAAACAAGTAAGAAAAAAGTTTGGTAGAAAATTTTCT